CTGTAATCCCAGCTACTCGGGAGGCTGAGGCAGGAGAATTGCCTGAACCCAGGAGGCGGAGGTTGCGGTGAGCCGAGATCGTGCCATTGCACTCCAGCCTGGGCAACATGAGTGAAACTCCGTCTCAAAAAAAAAAAAAAAAAATCTCAAGACTGAAGTTTGAAGAGACAGAAGACATAATGTGGTCCACACTCCACCCAATTATTGGTGGTGAGGAGTCTATACAGCACCCTAGGTGTGCATCTAGCCCTGCTTGAATACTTCCAATGCTGGGAAGCTCACTATCTCAGAAAGAAACCTATTCTCTGGTTAGACAACAATGGTGCTACAAAGCTTTTCTTCCTGTTTGTGGAAATCTGCTTTCCTGCCCTTCCACCTCCCCTTTTATTCTGTCCTCCAAGGCTGCTGAGACTCCCCCTGCACTCCCTCCACCTGGTAGTTCTTCAAATTCTTGAAAGCTGCCATCTGCACCCTCACTTAAGACTTCTTTTCTCCAGTAATATATAGTCAGGTTGAAAGCAGACAGGTACAAACCTGCTCAGTGGTATCCTTGGAGCACACAGCAATAAGGAGAGGGTAAGACGTTGAGAAAATATTCCTAAGGAAACTTTATTTACACTTTTAATTGAAGTATACTACAGTATTAGGAAAATGATATATTTTTACCCACTGAACTCACCAGTGGAAAAAGCACCCAAGTGCAAGCCAAGGCTGCCTGCTCTCACCACCCCATTCACATTAGATTGCTTCCTTGCAGGTACAGTAAGGCAAAAAAGAAGAAATAAGAGTATAAGGATTACAAAGAAAAACAACAAAACTACAATTGTTTGTAGCCAGTATCATGGTCTAAGGAAAACCCAAAATAACCTATGCATAAATTATTAGAATTAATAAGAGAGTTTAGCAAGGTTACAGTGTAGAAAATCTGTGTGTAAGGTTTGAGCATCAGTTAAATTTCTATATGCCAGCAACAGTCAGAAAAATTAAAAGTCTAATGAAAAGGGCTCCTTCCTTTTACCTCGTTGCATCCTTGAGAGCAAGATGCGTCACCAGCAGCTGTACTGGAGACGCCTGCGAAAATTTGGCCAGAGTTCTTGCTCTTGTCAAGTCTCTTCAAATCGGCATGGTCTGATCCAGAAATATGGCCCCAATATGTACTACCAGTGTTTCCATCAGTAAGTGAGGGATATTGGTTTCATTAAGTTGGGCTAAATGGTCTTCCTTCAAAAGATTATCCAAGACATCTACCATGAAAAGCCATAATAGTTCCTTGTACATAAAATAAACATTTTTTAAAACTTCCAAAAAAAAATCTAATGAAAAAATGATTTAAAACACAACAAAAATACAAAGCTCCTTGTAATCGATTTTTTAAAAATACTGTGCAAGCTCTTTGTGTATAAGATTTTTAAAAACTTTATTGGTAGACGAATGTGGTAGTGTGCACCTGTAGTCCCAAAGACTTGGGAGGCTGAGGTGGGAGGATCACCTGAGCCTGGGATGCGGAGGTTACAGTGAGCCTACATGGTGCCACTGCACTCCAGCCTGGGCCACAGAGCAAGAAGACCCTGCCTCAAAAAACAAACAAACAAATAAAAAACCCGCAAAATTAAAAAAAAAAAAACTTTATTGGAAGACATTAAAGAAGACACTAATCAATGGAAAGTTTTACCATATTAATGGATTGGAAAATTCAGAATTAAAGAGGCCAAAATTCTCCAAATTCATCTGTAGATGTAATACAATTATTTAAAAAACTTG